TATATGACCAATTAATAAAGCTCCCGCCATGTTTTTCTTGTTTTTCTTTTCCTTTAAAAAGATTATTTTTTATTCAATGAAAAGATCTGCACAGAATTTAGCCAATTAGAATTTACTTTCATAACGTCGATTATTACAGGGTATTATCCCTGATTGAATTTAGCCAATCAGAATTTCTTCTAGAATTTTTCATACCATCGATCATTACGGCATTTAGTATTTCCAAATTTGGTAAAATACTTGACTGCAATAATAACAATCTTTGTACCCCATACATATATATTGTGTTTGTGTATCATAAGATTTTTTCAATCAATTCATTTTAAAAAAAGTTGTTTTTTATAAAGGAAATGGCAGATAGAGACAAAAACCGAAGACAAAGAAAAAACAAAAAAAATTGAGAAAAAACTGCAAGGTAAGCATCATTTATCATTAAATGGTGGTTGTTATTGCCGCAACTCATTGTCACCATTCTAGTTATTATTTAAGAAATGTTCTAGTTTACTGAGATTTTGACTGTTGCCACTGTTTCTGCTACTCTAATTAATAAATAAATTTACATGGTGTTTCATTTAATTTTATTTAGTGATATATTGGCCTATTTTAAAAAAAATAGGAAGAGGGAGATAGAAGAAGCCTTAAAAAAATTTAAAATCAAAAGGTTGAGAGAAGGTCAAAGGGAAGCGATGGAAGAAATACTAAATGGGAAAGATACTTTCTTGATCATGTCCACTGGTACTGGCAAGAGTTTGTGCTATCAATTGCCAGCATTGATAACAAAGGGGCTGACAGTAGTGGTATCACCACTACTGTCATTAATGCTTGATCAAGTAAAAAATTTAAAAGAACTCAACATAAATGTATTATATTTATATGGTGACCAAAATGATAGTGAAAAGCAAGATGATTTTATAGAACTAAAAAAATCCATGCTAGCTTTCAGGATTCTGTATTTGACACCTGAAATGCTAAATCAAAATCCTGCAGTTGTCTCAATAGTAGAAAATTTGCACCAAAGGGATCAATTAACAAGGTTTGTTATTGATGAAGCTCATTGTGTTAGTGAATGGGGACATGATTTTAGACCAGCCTACAAAGAAATAGGCAAATTAAAAAAAGAATATCAAGATATTCCTATTGTTGCTCTAACTGCAACAGCAAATCTTGAAATAAGATCTGATGTGATGAACATTTTAGAAATTCATGGTTGCAAAGTCATATTATGAGGATTGAATCGAGAAAATTTATATTATGAAGTATGTAAGAAAGATAATAAAACATCAGAAAACCTTGTGGATTTCATTAAAGACTATAGAGGTGAATCAGGTATCATCTATTGCACATTTAAAAAAGATTGTGAAGAAGTAGCACAGTATCTACAAAGATCTGAGATTTCTGCAGAGTACTATCATGCAGGTTTAGAAAAAAAAGATAAAATAAACATCTATAATAAGTGGAAAATGGAAAAATTACAATTAGTTGTTGCAACCAGTATATAAAATTTGCTGATAATTTTTGTGCAGGTTGCACAAAATTTTGAGGATTTGTACAAACATTGTGCATGTATGCACAACAAATTGTAAGTAGTTTAGTTTTTTGATTTTTTTTGAGCATTATATATATATAAAAATGTAATAGTGCAAAAATTTCTCATTGAATTTGTGCACTATATTTAAAATTTCTGTCTCATTGTGCACAGTTAAGGGGTTGTGCACACGAATTTTATACACTGGTTGTAACTTGTGCTTTTGGAATGGGTAAATTATATATTGTATTTAAATTCTTATTAGTCATGATACATATATATACATATTTATATTTTTCCAACTTTTATATACATAGGAATAGATAAACCTGATATTAGGTTTATCATTCATTATACAATCCCACATTCTATTTCATGGTACTACCAAGAGACTGGAAGGGAAGGCAGAGATGGAAACCTTGCCAAATGCATCTTGTTTTATGCTGTTGATGATTATGAATTGTTAAAAAGATTGATACTTTATGGAAACAAAACTCATGAACAAAAAAGTAAGATCTTTCAAACCTATCTTTGATGAAGATTTTTTGTGAAACAAAACTGATTGTTATAGAAAACAATTGTTAGAATATTCCAAAGAAAATTTTGAACAATCAGAATGTAGAGAGACATGTAATAATTGTAAATCCCGATCAAATCTGACATCAACAGCACTACTACATAACCCAACTAACAAAAACACCATTAACACCATCTGATCCAACAGAAATAACATCATCACTAGGGTTTTTATTCATGAATATCATTAATATCATTAAGGTGGATTACACACTATTAAAACAGCAAAAAATCCCTTAAAAAAATGAGTTGATCACTTGATTTTAATAGTGTGTGACCCTGTGTGACCACTTATGATATTCATGAATACAAACCCTAATCATCACCATCGTCTAATCCAATAACATTTTCGTTCATTGACATCATCTGATCAAAAAATATCGTCATCATCTGATCAAACAACATCATTGTCATCAACACCACCTGATAAAACAACATTGCCATCATCAACACTACCTGATCCAACAAAAATAACATCATCACCATCACCTAATCCAATAACATTTTCATCATCGACACTGCCTGATCAAACAACATTGATCAAACAACGTTGCCGTCATCAACACTGCCTACATTACCTGACCCAACAAAAATAGCATCATCACTACTAGATCAAACAGCGTCATCATCAACATCATCTGATCCAATAACATTGTTGACATCAACAATTCCTGATTCATCATCTAATGACAATGAAAATATCAAAAGATATTTTGAAGGTCAAGATGAGGATTATAATTCTAAAAAAAAAAAGTTTATAGACAATAAAATCATTTTTTCTTATATCAATTATTATTTTTATTATACAAACAAATTATTCTCGCTTTTTTTTTTATTTGCAATAAAAAAAAAATTATTATTTAATATTTAAATATGTTCGATTAAATTGTTGATTACAACCTAATTTTTAAACACTTCTTTTTATCAACTTTATCAGAATGAAAGTTTTTTTTTGTTAACAAGCCAATAAAAGTATCAGTGTTGTGACCCAAAACTCTGAGTTTGTGGAAGACCCGCTTAGTGTAAGTACATTTTCCGAAACGTTTCAGGAAGCCAAAAGAGTTTCTGGTCACAACACTGATTTTGATCATTTGAGAGAGATAATGGGTGATCTGGATAAGAAAAAACTTTGATTTTGACCATTTGAAGAATAGTGGATGATCTGATTTCCTTTGATTAATGAAAAAATTTCCTTTCGGGAAAAACAAATAAAATACGTCGATTGATTAAGAAAAAAAAGCTTTGTTGATTTTTTTTAAAACAATCGAAATTTGTAAATGGCTTTTGATGTTTGCATGAAGCTTATTCTTCTATAGCGATAGATGAAAAAAAAACACGAGGAAAAGATCAGGACGAAAGATTTTAACAATCGAAATTCGCAAATGGCTTTTGATTCACACGAGGGTTCTTCTTTGCGAAGGATCTTTTTTTCTTTTAATTAAGAAAAAAAAAAGCTTAGTTGATTTTTTTAACAATTGAAATTTATTCTTTTATGGGATAACAACCATTTCATTGGATTAAATTTATTCCATGATTTTTATTTGTGTAATCTAAAAAAAATAAAATTAAACAGAAAAAGTAAACTGTTAAATACAAGACGTATGACGACATACGAAACTTCCAAAGCAAGTTTGTAAAATATACTGATGAACGTTTATCAATTATTGAATAGCTTGTATAGAAGTGTTAAAGTCAAGATCTATGAATCTGTTTGTAAAATATATTTAATGAGCGATCTATCAATTATTCAAATAATTACATAGGCAGGCTTGGTAGAAGTAAGTGTTAAAGTCAAGATCTATTTGTAAATTAAGTTTCCAAAATGAACGTTTAATATTATAAGCGGGTTTGATCAAAGTAAGTCTTAAATTTGAGATTTACAAAGCTGTTTGTAAAATATATTTAATTAACGTTTTATTTATTATTATCAATTATTCAATAACTATATAGGCGGGTTTGATCGGTCAAGATCTATATAATTTGCAAAAAAAAATTTTTTTGAGTTGTAAATTTTGTTTTATTAAATAAATTTGTTTGATTTTTTCATACATCGTTCATGTTTCCTCTTGATCATATATCTTAAATTGGTCGTGTTTACGATCATTTTGACATTCGTTATATTAAGGTTATTTTGATTATATCGAGAGATATGGTCAAGAGAAGAGTTAGGAAGAGAGTTATTCTTCAACCAAGTTGAAAACCAACCCTTTAAATACATTTTCGAGTAGTACGATTTAATTTATTAGACTATTTCAAATGGTTGCTTCCAACTTCTTAAATTCGAGCCATTTGTTAACGAAACAACAGTTGGTGAAGTGATTGTTGACAAAATGAATCAATGTTTTATGTTAATGTTTATTTTTACGTTATCAAGATTCACCGGAAAAGGTTTTCAATACTTAGATATTAAAGCAATTTTGAATTTATTTTAATTACCAAGTATACAGAAATATCCAATCTTGGTGTAGTTAAAGCTCGGGAGATTGCTAATGGACCTTTTACTGTATTCAATTTATTGAAAACCAAGAAAACATATATTTTTGAAGAAATTAAATCTTTATCTATTTTAGTGTTAATATACCTGTTTTGGACTATAAAAGACAAGAATATCTTTATAATAATATTCGCCCATTTGTGAAAGATAAATACAAAGATATTAATTGCCCCAAGCCAGCATAAAATGCAATTAAATACTAAATAAAAAATGTCAGATGTCATAAATTAACTTTTATTTTTCCTAATCTTAAAATAACACATAAGAAACCCAATAATATTCCACCTATTCAATAAGCTTTCTCTCTTTTATTAAGTTTATTAAGTTGGCTTTCTAATTGAGCCTTAGGAATATACATGGGATGGTAATTATTTTGCCAAAAGCGTAATACGTAATACGTAATTACGAAATTAATTACGAAATCAATTACGGGTGACGAAATCAATTACGCGTGACGAAATTAAATGACACCTATTATTTATCTCGTTATACTAGTATAATGACATAATTTGTCAACTTTTTTTAGAATTATAGAATTTATTCTGTTATAACGACATGTCAGTATAATGGGAGAACCAATCAAAATCATTCTCATTTCTGAAAAAAACATAAGGAAATAAAACTTACGCCGGGATCAAGATTGACCGGCATCATGGAAAATTCTGATAACACTTCTGTATAATGCTGGTCAATTTTGACCTGGCGTAAGTTTTAAATTTCCTGAATGAAATAAAAATAAAATATATATATATAATAAAAATAAAATTACAAATTCACGTGATAATGATTCTCATATGAACTCCCGTTATAATGACGTTCTCGTCATACTGACATTTTTTGTTTGTACGGAGAGTGTTGTTATGACGGTAGTTACTTGTATTATGATATTTCCATAATTAATTTCGTCGCCCGTAATTAGTTTCGTCACCCGTAATTAATTTCGTCACCCGCAATACGGTAATTAATTTCGTAATTATGTTTTTAAAGAGGAAAATGGTAATTAACTACGATAATTACGTACTTACGGTAATTATGCAATTACCATCCCATGTATAGTATCAACAATGGTTTGCATAGAAAATTTTCACAATAGTAATTAATTTCGTCGCCCGTAATTAATTACGTAATTACGAATTACGTATTTACGGTAATTAGCTAATTACCATATCATGTATACTTAGGAATTCTATTCCATTTTCTATAATAAGCCTCAGGATCTCTTATTTTTTCTGCAACTCTCTCATCTTCCATAGTGCCTAAAAAATTGATTGTTTTTTTGGGTCTGAATTGCCTTCATCATTTTTGCAACGTGAATCTAGGAAAAAATAATATCGAAAATTCTATGAGTTATTATCTACATCTCCTCAACTTTTATTTATAATGACAACAATAATAATAGACATTAATACTTCAAGTAGAGTGTCCACAACGAGATTAGATGACGAAGAGTGTGTAGATTTCCAATACAGAAAATCTACTTGAAGATAGATATACAATTGAACATTATTATGTTTTTGCAGGAAAGTATGTATTTTACGAATTCGCAAAGCTCATATTGCATACACTTGTTTATAGCATGTTACTATAACATTGTAAAATTAGCATATAAACCTTTTTCGTCATTGACCAATACTTGTTTATAATATTTCAAACCATGAAAAACCATTTTTTATTACGGATAGTGTTAAAACCCTCCAACCAGGTTTAATTTGCAATTGAAGTATCTTCAAAATTTTCGAAAATTTTATATATCAATTAGTGTTGGTTGCCAAAACTATTTTGGAGAGGCAAAAGTCAAAACTAAAATTAAAAGTTATATGTCAAAACTAAATCAAAAGTCAATAGTCAAAAATCAAAACTAGTTTCGACTTGTGGCGAAACCTTTTGACTTTCGCATGGTTGCGAAACTCTCTAATTTTGGAAATCAACACTAATATCGATCAATGTTTAATATAAATTTTTTTATTTTGCTAAATCATAAATAAATTATAATTAGAGTGAGGATATATAAAATAAAACAAAACAGAAGTATGCTTTAAAAAAAATTGTAAAAGCACACGAAGATTCAATTATTAAAATCGTAATCATCCGAGAATTTTTTAACCTCCTCATCTTTTCCAAACATTATACGATCATTTTTTGAATTGTCAAATAAATATCCCATTTTTTTATTAATGGATCCACATGATAGTCCCTCGCCAACAATTATATCTGGTTCTTCCACTACCACTCCACCAACAATAGGTCTTCCGCCCGTGCCACCATGTTTACTAGTAATCAACCATTTTTTATCAGTTTCTGTCAATTTGCTAATTTGAATCAAGGATTCTCCGGTTGCAAAATCAAAACAATCTTTAGGTCCAAATCCTACTGCCCAACGAATCTAATTAAAATTAAAACAGATATATATATAAAGTAAACTTTTTATCTCTATCTATTTATATTTGGTTTTATGATTTACCTTCATCTTTGTTCTTATATTACTAACTGCACGGGCTGCTCCTGTACGTGTATCCATTTTTATAAATGCATGATTTTTATCATAATTAATCTAATTTAATGTCAAAAATTTTCATTTATTATTTTTATTTATTATAAATTTAATTTTTTTTTTTTTAAAAAAAAATTATATGTATATTCATACTGTAACACTTGCGACAGAACCAAATTTTTTAAACATTTCTTGCATAACATCTTTAGGCATATCTTCTGAAACACTACCAACATAAAGTGTCCGACTTAAAACTATTTTAATTTTAACAAAACTAAAATTAGTATATAAAAAATTTTTATTTTTTATATTCATTACCTTTGATATATTCCATTCCAACACTTTGATCTTCATATACAAGACATATGTCTTGTGGTATTGGTGTTTGTTGTGGAGATGATTGATATGCTACTGTTTGAGTAACTGGAGCAATTGGAGTAACTGTTGGAATTTGAGAAGTTGGTTGAATTGATCCTGCTGTTAATGGAACACCTGAGGGAGATAGTTGACCAGGCTGCTGTTGAGGTGGATTAGCACCAGCAGCACCAGTAATATTACTCATAGCAGAAGCATTAGTAGCAGCAGGTGGTGGTAATGAATAAACAGGTTGTGATACTGGTGGGACAGATGTTGGTGGACCATTATATCCAAGAGGTGTTATAAAAGGAACATTTGGTTGTTGTGAAGCATTTGAGTTCCATGGTGCAGGTTGCATAAGATTTTGTTGAGCACCATTATTATTCCAAGGCATAGCATGAAATTGTTGTGGTGGAATATTTGTTTGTAATTGTGATGGTTGACCAGTTGGTGATATCCAAGGTTGTAATGGATTAAAAGGAAATGGTGGACTAGGTTGTTGAATATTACCTGGTGAGATTTGTTGATGTTGATTTTTATGTGGTGGTGTAGTTATTAGTTGATTAGGATCTGATGGAGTTTGTTTTGTGGTAATATCTTTTTTGTGTTGTTGATTTGATGGTGTACTATCATCATCTTCTTCCATATCATCATAATCAAACTCTAAAGGATTACTTGGTTCTGACATATTTTTATCGTTGGTGCCAATGCTATTATCATTAGTTGTTGTTGAATATTTGGAATTTTGAACAGTTGGTGAGTGTACATATTTATTATTATTTGTTGATAATGGTGTAATATTTGCAGTATATGATGTGGTAGGTAATTGTGGTTGCTGTTGCTGTAGAATTTGATGAGGCGGAGGAATTGGATGAGGAGGTTGATTGGAGTTGACAGGAACATTATTGAAAGGTGTTGGTGCATTGGGTTGCATTGATGTATTTGATATTATTGGGTTAGATGATAGAAAAGAGGGTATGTTTAAAGTTCCTTGTGTAAGATTATTTAAAGTGGCCAATAATGCTGAGGAATCCATTGTTGTGGGATTCATATTTTTAGGATCTGTAGATGATGATGATGGGAGCAATAATGATGGTGAAGGCAATGATGATGATATGGGATTAATTACTAATAATAATAATTATTATTAAAAATAAATATAATAATTGAAATTTTAGATTTTTTTTCCAACTGTAAATGTTCATTATAATTTTCCTTTTTTTTTTTTAATAAAATAATATACATATTGTTCAATCCAAAGTTATAAACAATGAAAATAATAAACTAAGGTATATGATTAAAATTGTCTTTTTTCCTTTATATTTAACTGACCATTATTAGAAGAAGAAACAATTACTGATTTTGTCTCATTAACACTGTTAACCAATTGAGTGATCAGAGTGATTTGATTAAAATAGATGTCTTTTATTCTTTGAATAACCTCCTTGTTATAAACTTCTTTGTCATACCATAGGTCAAGCACACGCTCCACTTTATCCTGTAAAAAAGTTTTTTTTTTATTATATGTACGAGTTTTTAATTAATAAATATTTATTATATTCAAAAGATCACAGAGTTATCATATTCATTATTGAAATTATTGTATAATATTTAATAGGAATAATTAAATCACACATAGCATGTAAATTGTTAAATTGTTTTCCTTAATCTTCCAAAAAAATTTTTTATAAATAAAGATTTGAATTATTAATATCTGAATATACATCTACTATAATCAAGTGTTATTCTTCCTAATATTGATTAAAATTATTTCATCTTGATAATGATAATAATAAATTATAAACTTTCTCCAGTGTTGACGAATCACAATTATTGATGATTCTTTCTCTCTCCCAATCACTCAACATTTAAATAGATAAAAAGGTTTTATCTATCAAAAAGCTTCCCTTGTATTGTTATTATTATTATTACTTTATCATTGCCTTGACCCCTGGATCTTTCTTTCTTGCTCATAAATAACAATAATAACCAACCAATTTACAATAAATAATAATAATAATGGTAATGATTTATTAAAAAGACTCATACCTTATCATGTTCTGGACATTGCATTATATGGGTAAACATTTCCTCCAATAGTTTCTCAAATCTATCAAGATATTCTATGCCTGTCCATGATGGTGAAGATGATTGAGATGTGTTTGTGTTTGATGAGATGTCATCAACTTTTTTTGACATTACCAATACCTTTTTTTTGAGAGCTGATTGTGATATTGAATCTAACACATATAATGCTCCCAATTTGTAATCAGATGGACATCTTTGAATGAATTTTTGTATACTGTATACAATATTTTTGTATTGCTATATATTATTAAAAATTAATATTTTTTTTAAAAAAAAAAAGAAAAGAAAAATAAATTAATCAATGTTCTTTCCCTTAAATATATTTATGAATTGATTAATATAATTAATTAAAATTTAAAATACATCTAATTCTGATGAATGAATTTGTCAACGTTTTTCCATCACTTGAATAAAAAATTTTTATAAAGGTTATTTCATATTTTTCATACCTTTGGGGTATTAAGAGCTATTTTAGTTAGGTCTTTTATTTTTGAAGCACTAGTCCCAGGCGGTTTTCTTTCAAGTAGTTCATTTAGTTTTTTATCAAATTCAGGAAATTCTTTGGTCGTTATTTTTGTCATTTTGTCTGAATGCTAAATCAATCAAACAGGTAAGAATTTAAAACAATAAGATTTTTTTAAAATTATATATATATAATCAAAGACGAAAAAATAGTTATTTTTTTATTTTTGTATTACAATGTCATGCATACATTATTAGACAATTATTATTTTTATTATTATCATAATTTTTTGTTGTTATGATTATGAAAAGTTTCAGCTGAAGTTGATTGGGCAATTCTTTAGTTTACATAGTCTCTGTATCATTGCTAATATCAAGACCAAGTGATAACTATTGATATTTATAGATGATATGAATATATCTTTTGGAATTTTCAACCATGCATCATGAGTCAATTGGAGAAGATTAATGCACCATGGTTTAGGTTTTTGTGCAAATTTTTTCTTTTCAAATACAGTGCAAAACAGTTTTTTGAAGAAATCATAATGTATATGAATAACATTTTCTCTTGAATTTAAAGAAACATGCAGTGGATCCAACATTGGATCAATATTCTGGATACCTTCAAAATTACTTAATTGATGATTCATATACAATGTAATAGCCTTTCTAATAAAAAGTTGTCCTGGAAAATCAGCTATTACTGGTATTACATAAATTTTAATAAACTCTAATAATCCATCTATATTTGTTATCATTTTAATTGGCTAATAAATAATCTCTTAAGGAACAAAGACTTTGTTGTTTTATATCAATTAATTTTACTGATTCCATAGATCTTTCTTCTTTTTTTTCTTCAATATCTGCATCATATATATGAACTGTTAAAAGTTCAACACAATCAAAAATTTTATCATCAAGAATTTTATTATTAATCCACTGTGATTTTATATCATTGTGACTTATATCAAAAATCCCCATATATTCATTAATTAGTTTAGTGTTAATTAATGAATCATCAATATTTTTAGGATTTATTAAATTTAGCAGGAACTGCAAGAACATTCTCAATTTTTTTTAGCAACACATGTTGCCATATGTGTTGCTGAAGATAATGATGACGAATCAGGCCTTCTCCACCCATGGATTGAATGATAATCATCAATATTAAAACAATGCATGTATTGTAAATTTTTTAAAAAATATCTTTTATCATTTTTTGATGATTTTTGGCAATTTTTTTTTTTATAACCTTGTATTGTTTTATAGCAAGCTGAGATACCCATGTTTGACAAAGTGTCAAGTTCTGCAGCATTTGTTCCATGTGCTTCTAGATAGAGCCCAAGATCCAGTTTAAAATTATTCACAAATTTATTTCTTATACTGGCTAAAAGGTAGCAATAACCTACAATAGCCTTTTTTGTTGATTCCTTATTTAAATGAGAATGATTTTTTTGAATGATATTTATTAGTTCATCAAAAAATCCTATTGATTTTGGTTCCTTAATCTACAAAAATTTGCAGGATCCAACACAATGTCATTTTGAATTTTCTTTGTTATTCATAAGAACATTTGTTAATGATTCTATTTTATCAACAAATGATAATGTACCTCTAAATAGAAAATACAATCAATACAAGTAACACAATTTAATGATAAAAAATAACATAATTACTATACCCACTTTTTGCTGATTGTTGTTGAACTGTTAAATAAACATTACTAACATCAATTAAGTTCTCAATTTCTTTGATTTGATTACTTTTTTTCAATTGTTGATTCTAAATTTTCAATTTTTTCAATTAATGAACCAAAGTATTCCTTTGATAGAAGAACACCATTTTCAGTAACATTTATTTTTATATTATCATTATTTTTGGAAATTTCTTCATAAATTTTATTGCTTCTTAATTTTTTCTTGTTAAACTCTACATATTTCATATAATGAATATGACAAATTTGTTTTTTTTTTAAAAAAAATAATTCATGCTTCCATAATCCGGGCTTTGTTGTAATTTATTAAGTGCAAGGTCTGTCATAGTCTTAAATTTAACTTCAGTATTTTTGCAATTAATAATTATGCAAGGACCATGATTTTCATCATTTTTTATATTAATAATGATTAGTATATAATAATAGGAAAGAATTATAGCTGTTTTTTAAATATTATATATAAGAATTTTTATTTGAATTTTTGAATTTACATGAATTAATTCGTGATCCATCAATGAAGGAAAGGATCTACATAGTAAAATTCCGGGATAAGCATCATAGTAAAATCAATTA